AAGGCCATCAATCTTATTCTAATTATCATACTGCACAGACTCTTTTAGATTTCCAGTGTAATGAAACATCTTTAATTTAAATCCTTTTCATTTTCATAATGCAGATCATTCCTAATTAATGGAGAATTCTGAAGCTAACTTGATTTCCATGTGGTATGTTAAAGGTTCTTCACCTATTTTTAGTGGAGTTATTTTAGCTTAGTTCCCCTTCTTCAAAAACTTGGCACTGGGTCACTCCCTTCATGGTGAGCTAAAGAATGGCAAAATTAACTCTTCATTTGAAAAGCATGTTCTGAGGTGGAATTTCTAATATCAAAATCATATCATGAGAAACTGTAGACATAATTCTGGTGATAGCTATTCACCTGTCAGTTAAGGAAAGTGGTAGGCTTGGGTAAAATATGTCTGAAGTCTAAGTGACTTTATGGGATCAAGCAGTGATGCTTCATCATATTTAGCAAGTGTTAATAGTTTGCATCTTACCTTCCATCTGAAGTGCCAATTGCAGCTGGTGAATACTTCATTTCATAGAGAAGAGTTTCTTTTGGCTTAAGAACAAGAGTTGTTTCTCCAGTAAGTGCAGCATCCGTTAACACCACGTTTAACTGGAGACTTTCAGCCGTAGGATTAGTGATAGGAATTTCAATTTTAGCAGTGTTCTAAAAGCGTAAAAAGAGTGAATAACTGACCTTTCAATGTCAACAGTTTGTTACAGATGATGCAACGTTGACACTACTGAATGTCACATAGGTTGCAACTTAATAAATAGATTAAAGCACAGTTGTTAAAATAGAGTACTTTCAGCAAGACCGAACTTACAAGAGGTAGCTAGTCATAAGTTACTTCTTATTGCAATTAGCAATCAGGAAACCTCGAAGTCTCTCTGGCCATTTCCCCATATTAACAGGCTATATAGGAGGGATAGGCAAGATATGGCCCATAGGCCAGATCTCCCACCAAGGGACTCTATCTGGCCAGCTGTGGGTCTGTTGGCCCCATCCAGCCCAGTGATGAGGGGTAGCTTGGTCCATGGTACATGAGGACATTCCACTGTCCCTGGGGTGCACGGTGGGGCAGGGATGGTGCAGCAGCCAGACCTGGATTCCTGGAAGCCCCCATGGCAGCAGCTTTCTCTGCCTGGCTGCCACTGCCAGTGTCTCTGCTGCTGTCACCACTGCCAGACCTGCTGCCCAATGACCCCAGCTTGTGCTTCCTTCACCCACCATTGGGGTGCTGAACAGAGTTGGCAGGTGGGATCTCCATGGAAACTGGCCTAGGACCATCACAGGCAAGTTGCACTAGGCTAGACAGAGGTGGATAGGATGAAACCTCAGGTGAGAAGTGGATCGTGGCTCTGACCTGGGTCCTGGCCCCATGCTGTCACCAGCCCCTGACTGCCCATCCCTTTCCCAGATGTCAATCCCCATCTGCCTATCGCCGCATCCCATCTGCCCAGCTGAATACACTCTGCCTGTGGGCCCCCAGTCTCCATGGAGACCCTGACCACCCTCCCGCCCATGCTATCTGATGCCCCCAGAGACGGGTTAGGGGGCAGACTGGCCCAGGGTTGGGAAAGTGGCAACATATCACTAGCAGAGAAAGCACAAGGGCATATCAGTGGTAGCAATCAGCAACAACTGGAGACGGGGAATTACTGGCAACAATTGGAGACGGGGAATTACTGGCAACTGATGGTGAGAGGAATCACTGATGGGGAATGTCTTGGGGCATAGCTGTCTTAATTCAGCTGGACGCCAAGCGGGGGAGAAGCATGCGGCTGGACATGGAGCAGGGAGGTGGGAACAGAGCACAGGTGGGTGGGGACGGAGCACCACTGCCTCCCAGGAGCAGGGCCAAGGCAGGGTAGGGGAGCTCACCAGGCTGGGGTGAGGGCAGTGGCACCCCTCTGCAGGGCAGGGTAGCTCACCAGGCCGGTGTGCGGTGGCGGCTGCCACCACATGCAAACTCCCCACCCCACAGAGAGGCGCACCTACCTTCTCCCTGCCCTGCCCTGGCCCTGCTCCTGGGAGGTGGCAGTGCTCCATCCCCTCCCACCCACGCGTACACCCAGTGGTACATGTACCCCTGGTTGACAACCCCTGATCTACAACATATCTACAACATAGGGAGAGGAAGAATATTGCATAAAATACCTGTTTCCCTCTAGGGCTACTTTTGGAGCACTGTAATAACGCACTGCCCTTTATTTGGGGGTCACTTCAAAAGACACAACAGAGTGCACAGTAATTTTGGTTCCATCTGCCCTAACTGAAAGGTTTATTTTTCTGAACTATAGAATATTTTATTCAAGAAAATTCACTCTTTGCAAATCAGCATGAATCCATATCAGCTTTTACATGTATTACACACATTTCCCCAAATTAATATTTTCTAGTATGGCACACACATAATACACATGC